TTTATATATATTGAAAAATGCGTGATGGCTGGTGTGGTCCAGTCATCTTTATATATATTGAAAAATGCGTGATTGGCTGGTGTGGTCCAGTCATCTTTATATATATTGAAAAATGCTTGGGAGCACTAATTAGGTGGCAGTGGGTCCCGTCATTAATGATGTGATGTTTTGGTCTTGGAGTTATATTTTTATTTTTTTATTTTTACTTTTTTAATGCATTAGTGCTATTAGTGGTGATATTTTTAGTGGGATGAATTATTGTTGATATATATTATATTGTATGAAATGGGCCTACTTATGCACGTTTTTTTGCAATTGGTGTAATCAATCTGTTATTACATGGGCTGGTGGGATCCATTTAAAGTAGAATTCAATTTTTTAAATTGAGAAATTGTTCAAAAAAATGTTAAATAAATATATTTTTTAATTTTTATAAAAAAATAATATGACTCAAAAAATTAAAAAGTGCATATACCAAACCATCCCAATAGATGTCAACCTTTGGGTTATTTAGCATGGACCACCTGGTTCTTTATAAGGTATAGCTTGGTATTGGTTAATATAGTTAATTTTTTTAGTTTAGAATTTTTTTAGTCTGGTTTTTTTAATTTCATTTAGTTTTTGTTTCGGGACTTTTTTGATTTTTATGAGAAAAAAAATGTAATGATTATAAGTGAAAAGTGATATTTTGTTTTATTAGCTTACATAGTTTATTTTGTCTTTTTGTACTTTTTTATTCTTAAAATGGTAGCCAAACGAGCACTAAGTGTTATTATTATGGTGGGGCCCACTTGGGGTATTGTAAGAGCAATGATTCTCTCATTGACTCCCTACTTAGTAGGTCATTGGGCTCACTTTTGAGCCTAATTTTAATGATCCGAATCGTTCACATTTTAAAATTTGTCATGTATATCATACTTGTAAAAAATTAAATTGATTGAATATCGAAAGAACTAAAAATCGTTTATTAAAAAAAATTAATAAATATTTTTATTGTTTAATAAAATTTTAGTTCACATAATTTTCGATATCCGATCGGTTTGATTTTTTATAAGTATAATATATATGACAAATTTTAAAATATAAATAATTCAAATTATCAAAATTGAGTCTAAAATGGGTCCAATAGCCCACCAAAGAGAGGATCCATGCTTTTATTTCAATCTGTGGGCTCGTATTCAAGCTGTGTGTGGATTAGTTAAAATGGTTGTTTGGGTGAGGGCAGTTATGGTATTCAGTAGGCGTGGCCCATGTGAGGTTTATTTGGAGGGTTTCTTATGTTGAGCCAACGAGCGGCGGTCCATTGTTTACAGCCGATTTATTCATGATGATTCCTCGCGTGATCCTCATACGACTCTGGTCTCGAGCCATTTCGTATAACAGAAATTATTGTTTGCCGATAAGGTCAAAAAATTAGTTCATGTAAAGTCCTCTTATTTTTGCTTGTAAGACGCCAAGGTTGGGTTTGGTAATTGTTATTTTAGTAGGGGTTTTTTATTTATTTATTTTTTATTATAGTAAGTTTTAATTTATTTTTTTAAATTTTATTTATTTATTTATTTTTAACTTTTGAGATCTTACTTAGACTAGGAGAATCTGAAAAGTATTTTAAAAACAAAATTTGAAGAAAAAAAAATCCATTAAAGACTCCAAAAAAGAAAAAAAAAAGTAGACGATAAAATTTTTTTTTGACTTTATTTTATTTTTTATGAATATTTTTTTACTTAACGAAATTTAAAAAATGAATGGTTCAAATAACTAAAATGATCTATGAAATGAGTGCATCAGGCCCAACTATTTTTCTCAAATTGAATCCGTGAAACATACGATTCGGTGTTAAAGATTATCAATCTAGCCAACAAAATTATCTTAAGATAGAAACTCTTAAATAAAAGAAAATAAGTGAAACATAATAAAATAAATTATACTGACCTTTTTGAATTTAAAAAATAAAAATAAACTCTATAAATTTAACATAATTATATCGATAGATTTTTTTTTAATAAGATTAAATCAAATGAAATTAATACAGAAAATATAAGGACACAAGGATAAGTAATGATAAAGTATATATTTTAGTGTATAAAAATGAAAACATTTTTTGTAAGGGGATAAAGTGTTATGTGAATTTAAATATTAAGGAATAAAACAATATAGTTATGAAAAATTTATGTACTATTGGTTGTATTGTATATTTCCAAATCGTAACGGTGGTTTGAGATAATCTAAATAAATATATTTTTTGACCTTTCATAAAAAAAATATGAAATATGAATTGAATTTGAAGCGATATGGTAAAAAAATAATGTGACTCAAATAAAATGATGTGACTTAAATAAAATACTAACTTTTTAACTTTATGGGATTATGCCAAACTTATCCCAATAAATCTGACAAGTCTAAGCTTCATATGCAAGAAACAAATAGAGTACCTTCCCAGAAAAATACCAATAACAATTTTCTGTGAATTTTCATTTTCAACTTGGGAAAATGGGGAAAACAGTGTATAAAACTCAAATCCAGTAGCGATCAATGCAAGAAAAAAATGCCACAGAATATTCTATATAATTATAGTAAAAATTACAAAAGAAAATTAATTAATTAAATAAAACTCCAAAGTTTTACTCTTATAACAAAATAAACCTTAGGTTTTAATTTTGACGATTTAAACCTTAATCTTTTAATTTATTTTCAATCTAAACTATTTGCCTAATTTCGTTGAGTAAAACCAATGAAAAAAAAAATTATTTTAATTATTAAAAAATAGTATTTTATAAATAACAATTTGTTTGGTGTCGGTGTATTTTCCAAAACATGAAAAGTGCTTACAAATTTTTCTAAATTATAATAAATAAAAATATTATTTTTCATTTATTTTGAAAATAAATTTTGAGTTGTTCCTCCATTCTCAAGTTAAATTATCTACTATCAAGTTTTTATTCATTGAAAACAAGTTTTTATTAATTTATTATCACTACTAGAAAAAGCACTTTTGTCGACTAAATTTTTAGTCGCCAAAAGTCCATTTTTAGTCGCCAAAAGTCGACTTTTTTGTTTCTCCGACTAAATTTTTTAGTCGCCGGTTTTGTCGCGAAACATGGTCGCTGGAGGTATTGGCCACTAAAAAAGTTTTAGTTGGCAAAAAACAAGTCTTTAGCGACCAAAGTTTTGGTTGCCAATAGTCAATTACACTTTTTAAAATTATACATTTAGCGACTAATCTTTTAGTCGCCAATAGTCAATGAATCGCCGACTAATCCGTTTAGTAGCCAAAAGAAACACTTTTGGCGATCAATAATTTTAGTTGCCAAAGGTTGTTCCGTGAAAAAAAAAAAATACAGACTTTTTTACTTTTTTTGAGATTTGAACCACCAACCTCCCACATTCTAAACCTTTAGCAACACACTCTCTCCACTATACCACTACAGCACCACATGAATATATATGCAACATATATTATTTATATACTATATTGACCTATATTAATACAAAACTATATATATAAACATAATTATTTTTATTCAATATAATTTATGTAAAAAATAAATTATTTACTAAAAAAAAAATGAGAGTACTTTTGGCGACTAAATCTGTTTTTTAGTCGCCAATTCTATAGTTTTGGCTACTAATTATTTTTTAGTCGCTAAAAAAATTAATTCCCGCCTAAAAATAACCACTTTTGGCGACTAAACTTATTTTTAGTCTCCAAAACCTCCACTTTTGCCGACTAAACTGAATTTTAGTCGCCAACGGTACACTTTTAGCTACTAATTTTTTTTTAATAGCCAAAAAGCTTCACTTTTGGCTACAAAATTTATTTTTATCGGTAAAACACGTAGAATCGGCGACCAAACTATTTTTTAGTCACCAAAACCTATACTTTTGGCTACTAAATTTTTTTAGTCGCCAAAAACCTTCCCTTTTGGATACTAATTCCATTTTAGTCGCCAATAACTACACATTTGGCTACTAAACTGTTTTAGTCGCCAAAGTATTTTAGTGCCAATTCTGCTACTTTCAGCGACGAAAATTCTATTTTTAGTCGCCAATTCTGCCTTTTCTTGTAGTGTATGTTACAACTTAACATTATCTAGAAAAAATTATCCATGCTTGAAGGCATTTTGTTATTCAAAAAATAATATTAACCATAAGATTTATTCAATATTAACCGTCAACTAAGCTATGTATGACATTTTTTTAATAGACGATGAGTTTTATTATCATATGTCCCCGTTACAACTTTGTGATATAATTAAAGTCCAAAATACACTTGATTGGAGCATATGGTAAAATATGCCATAACCAAAGTAAAAGGTGTCACTACAAGAATTTACACATTTGGTGACCACTTTTGCCGACCAAAAAAATTTTGGTCGCAAAAAAATGACATTTGGTGACCAAATATTAATTAGTCGCGAATGATTATTATTTTTAGCGACCAAATATTATTGGTCGCAGAAGGTTATATTTTTGTGACCAAAAAATGAATTGGTCGCAGAAAGTGGTATGCTTTTGCCGACGAACTACAAATTTGGTCGCGGAAGGTCACATATTTTTTTGCGACCAAAATTTGGTCGCCAAAAACTTATTTTCAGCAACCAAAAAAAATTAGTCGTCAAATTAGTACTTTTAGCGACTAATATTTTAGTCGCCGTTGATTGAGATTTGGCGACTAAAAAAATTAGTCGTTATATATTTGAGATTTTGCGACAAAAAACGAATTTAGTCGTTAAAGGCGAAATTTTTTTAGAGGGAAATCTCGTGCCCACCCCTGTTCTCTGTTTACAATTACACACAACATTTTGTTCAAATTCTCCTCCACCGCCAAACCTCAACCCATCATAACAGATCGCCACATCTACATCGTCGATGATCCTCCTCCTTCTCCTCCGCCTGTGCCTCCGCCGAATCCAAGAAGATCGTCGAGATCTGAATCAGATTTGAGTCCTAGGCTGAGATCTGACCGTCGTGAGCGATCCACAGCGACACAATGGCTTCCAAAGCCTACAAGAAGATCATCGATATCTACGATGACCTCATCCTTCAGGTACATACACTACCCCTCCTTCTATTCCATGATTGATCTCTCTTCTTATCAAGCCCTAATCCTACGATGGTTCTCCTGCGTCTTATCTCTCTCTCTCTCTCTCTCTCTCTCTGTGCCTGATCTCTACGCCGTCTCAGAGCTTCAAGCAGTTCGATTTCGTCTAAAGGTTTGATCAATTTCGATCTCTCTTTTCTCTATTTCAATTTGTGTGTTGTTTGTATTGGTTTAGCTTTAATAAAACTGATCTGATTTGGCGTATGAAAGCAAGTCCTTCCATTTTATAATCTAGCTAAAAACTCTAGTTCCCAAACAAGGTCTAAATCTAGTTTCCATGGTTCTCAAAAAGCACATCAAAATGAAATTACACTTGCTAGTGAAGGCAGTCTATTTATATGTAAGTGGCATAATAGTTTTGGGATTTGTTGCTATGCTAGTTGCAACAGTATGGTTCTTGAACTATCGTTTATTGGCCCTTTCTTCCCTGTATCACATGCTTGCTTTTTAAGCTGGAAAAATTATGTGTTGAATTTCCTTTCCTATTTCTCCTTAGCACATGGTTTCTCATTTTTAAGTAGGTTGGTTTCTTTTTCAGGGATCCATACTCGAAGGGAATTGATCCTGATGCATTGAAAACTTCTCTAGCTGCTGCATGTGGTATCTAAATTCTAAAATAATTCCTAAAAGCATAACAATTGCCATTCTATCTTTTAGTGTTTCTTTGAAAATGTTATATGCATTTTGATTTGCTTTACACTTAGTTATTTGATTTGGTTGGTTGGTCTTAGTCGCGGAAGGCCCAAGTCATATTCCTGGATTTAATAGTTGTCTTGTTGGCTGAGAATGCATGTGATCACTTGATGTTGCACAGGTCTTTCAAAGTTGTTATTTATTTTTTGCCTTTTTATATAATCTCAAGTGGTATGGTTAAAAAAATAATGGTTGCCAATGAAGAAGTGGCAGTTGCTTCTAATCCTTGCTCCTATATGCCCCTGTATTTATTTCTTAATTCTTGTCAATACATCTGTGCACCTAGTAGACCAGTGTGATAGATAGATTGGGCGCTCTAGCATTCTCCAACAGCATACTTTCTGGACAATTTTCTTTTGGATGCTAGATATGGGCGCGATAGCACTCTCTAGAAGCTTCCACCATTGTGCTGTGTAACGCCCTCAAAATAATAACATTAAACCCATCAAATAAGACATGCATTTACATTTAAACTAACCGCATTCCTTTATTCATTAGAATTCCATTACATAAGTATTACATGTTAACATCATAACAAAATGCCCTACGGGCTAACAGCTTTCCAAGTTAACACTTGGTTACAACAAAGAGTTCTAACTCGTTTACACATAAAGCCCTTGGCTTGAAGTTACATGTAATACATCAAAAGCAAAACGACAAAACATGTCCGCCACTAGCCTCTAGCTATGTCCTTGGAGGTGGCATGCTTCCTGCACCTGAAAATGATATTCCCGTATAGGGTGAGCCACAGCCCAGTAGAAATACACTAAACCAACCATGGACAATGACTAAAATATAGCAATTGATAGATGGTCAACACTGATACAATCACATAAATCACATATTTATGTCTTTCAACTTATGAGTCTAAGTTACCTTTCATTTTTCCCTTTTTCAACAGATAAGCATGCTAGCTCTATCAAACATTTCCACAGATATGTAATAAAAACTATATCTCACATTCAGTAAGCATGAAAGCTATATCCACATTCTCAACAGATATGTATAACAACAATATCCCACATTCTCAGATAGGATATAAGCTGTATCCACACTTCACAAAGATAAGCATATGACTCTATCTTCACTTCTCTAGACAAGCATATGAGCTGTGTCTACGGAGTTCATCCCTATCTCCTCCCAATTCCTATCCGGTTTAGAGGTACATCCCCTATCTTCCCCTAAACCGCGGAGTACATCCCTATCTCCTCCTCTACACATAACGTATACAAACACAATGGTCTAATATACATCACCCATACATACAAATAATGTATTCTATCAACCGTCAAGTTCCATGACACATTTCATTGATTAGTTTCAGTTTACCTAATCATCATGCATTGTCTACGACAATCACGACTATCCTCCACCGATAGCCCAAAGCAGTTATTTCTAAACAGAACATAAATGCACAAATGGATATTCAATCAACATTTCATTCCTCATTTCTCACAATTAATTATCCAATTAATTAAACAATGTAATTAGGCCATTTTCCATAATTACCATTTCAACCCTTAGGTCCCATTTTCATCAATGATTCAACATCAATCCATTTTCCATGCAAACATGCATCTAGGTTTATTATGAATAAAACCCAACTTTTGTAAAATTAACACAAAAGCCCAAACTTTCACAAAATTACCAAAACAAGCCCAACATCTCAAAATACCAAAATTTAAAGACAAAACCCATAGAGAGGAGTAGGATATCCCTACCTCAAATTCGGAGTCCCAAAGGAGAAGACGACAAAACCCAACGTGCTCCAAAACCCGAGATTTTCAGATTAAAACGAAGCCTCGACGATCAACAACTTTTTTGTAAGGCAAAGGTGAGTAAATCACTCCTACTAGATCAAAACCTAGAGAGAAGGTAGAGTCTAGAGTGAGAGGCTCAACAATGGTGATTTTGGAAAAGTAAGAGAGAGAAGAGAAAGTCAAAAAGTAATTTGAAAAGTCACAATTTCGGGACTTTAACCCAGGTCTCCGTCGAGCGTAAAACCACCCCGCTCGAGCGGCCACTCACAGACTTCCACTCGAGCGGCCAACCGCCCGCTCGAGCGCAGAATGCACTCGCTCAGCACTTTTGCAGAACCAGGCCTCCGCTCGAGCTTCCAACTCTACGCTCGAGCGGCACTCAGACAACCCCGCTCGAGCGGCCAATACCACGCTCGAGCGTACAACGCTGCACAGGAAAATACTGAATGGGTGTAATCTCCGCTCGAGCGCCAACACCTCCGCTCGAGCGTACAGGCCAAAAATCTGGGCAACTAGTTTTGGTTTCTAAACTCAACCAACCTGAAACAAATCCGCCCAACACATCCTATAACTCAAATACGAAGTAAAAGGATGTAAACAAAATAATAAACAACTACCAACATCCACGGACACAAGTCCGGATCACTATACAACAAGGGTAAACCCGGGATCGCTATATGCTGCATTAACTTAATTTCATCTCTTCCTTGCTTCTAAGCCTCTCCAAAGCTCTTTAACACCACGTTGATTGCCAAGTTATTCCTTACAATGAGATTTCCACAGAATTAAACATAAATTAAAGGAATTAACATCAAATGAATGCAACCTTGCCTATGTAAATCAACATAAATATGCGTTGTTCGGCATTCATGGTAAGCAGGCTTGCTTACTTGTACGTCTTTGTCCATATTGACACTAGTCAACTCATTGATTCTAATTTTGGGTTGTGATATCTGAAAAATGAAGAAGCTAGTCAAGCTTTTCTTCAATTGAACCTGTATTTTCTGTTGTTGTAACTATGTACCCTTTGTGAATCAATAAATTATTTATAATCACATCTGCTATATTCTATCTGCATGTGCATACAGTATGTAGAAAGTCAATTGGGAAAGAAAGTAAACTCTTGTTTACCTGTTCTCAAAAGTTTTTTTTTATGCCTTCTGTGACAGCTTCCATTTTTAGTTTTGGGATCTATGTTCATTCCTGCATGTTAGTGTTGCGTTTAAACTTACTTTACATTCAACAAAACAATGATGAGGTAGAAATTAACGTGTTTTAATGTGACGTGCAGGAGCGTTAACATCCAATAAGAAGCTAGAAGAATCAAGACATGAGAAGCCATGTGAAACAGAACCAGACCAACTTGCTGAGGATGTTAAGTCGGCTCCTTCTCCAGATGGAGAAGTGGGAACTGGAGGACAAACAAATGGAGAGAAGACTTTAATAGATGCAGTGAAGCCCAAGCATAAGAGAAAAAAGAAGTCATCCTCCAACGTTGATGCAAGTTAGCTGAATGAAAAAATATATCTAGGTATGATACTGACTTTTTTATTTGTGCTAAAAATAATTTTCTTACCATGCATCTCATAAGTGGATGAATCAACTGGTGAATCTCTGGAAACTGCTATTGATTGGTTGAACTGGTTCTTAATATAGGCTAATAGCCAATATAATTCTGATAACTATGGTGTTAAAAAGGAAGGGTATTTTCAAATTCTAAGACTAAACAAACATGGGACTTATTTTATGTGCAATATGTTTATGTTTTATCGAGGTATTTTTGTCTTCGTCCGTATATTTTCTCAAGTCATCTTTAAGTGAGTCACGTGACAAACTGCTATGTTTTCGATGTACGTGAAGCTACCGAGAAATAGTTTGACTTGTGTACTATAAGTGACAAACTAATAGGAGATTAGTCATTGCTTGGTTAGAAACATTCATGGGCTTGCAAGTTAATTTAGTTGTTATTGTGGAGTATGCATGATTTTAATAAATATTTTTATTGTTTAATAAAATTTTAGTTCACATAATTTTCGATATCCGATCGGTTTGATTTTTTATAAGTATAATATATATGACAAATTTTAAAATATAAATAATTTAAATTATCAAAATTGAGTCCAAAATGGGTCCAATAGCCCACCAAAGAGAGGTTCCATGCTTTTATTTCAATCTGTGGGCTCGTATTCAAGCTGTGTCTGTGGATTAGTTAAAATGGTTGTTTGGGTGAGGGCAGTTATGGTATTCAGGAGGCGTGGCCCATGTGAGGTTTATTTGGAGGGTTTCTTATGTTGAGCCAACGAGCGGCGGTCCACTGTTTACAGCCGATTTATTCATGATGATTCCTCGCGTGATCCTCATACGACTCTGGTCTCGAGCCATTTCGTATAACAGAAATTATTGTTTGCCGATAAGGTCAAAAAAATAGTTCATGTAAAGTCCTCTTATTTTTGCTTGTAAGATGCCAAGGTTGGGTTTGGTAATTGTTACTTTAGTAGGGGTTTTTTCTTTATTTATTTTTTATTATAGTAAGTTTTAACTTATTTTTTTTAATTTTATTTATTTATTTATTCTTAACTTTTGAGATCCTACTTAGACTAGGAGAATCTGAAAAGTATTTAAAAACAAAATTTGAAAAAAAAAAATCCATTAAAGACTACAAAAAAGAAAAAAAAAAGTAGAAGATAAAAAAAAAAATTTGACTTTATTTTATTTTTTTATGAATATTTTTTACTTAACGACATTTAAAAAATGAATGGTTTAAATAACTAAAATGAGCTATAAAATGAGTGCATCAGGCCCAACTATTTTTTTCAAATTGAATCCGTGAAACATACGATTCGGTGTTAAAGATTATCAATCTAGCCAATAAAATTATCTTAAGATAGAAACTCTTAAATAAAAGAAAATAAGTGAAACATAATAAAATAAATTATACTGACCTTTTTGAATTTAAAAAGTAAAAATAAACTCTATAAATTTAACATAATTATATTGATAGTTTTTTTTTTTTTTAATAAGTTTAAATCAAATGAAATTAATATAGATAATATAAGGACACAAGGATAAGTAATGATAAAGTATATATTTTAGTGTATAAAAAATGAAAACATTTTTTGTAAGGGGATAAAGTGTTATGTGAATTTAAATATTAAGGAATAAAACAATATAGTTATGAAAAATTTATGTACTATTGGTTGTATTGTATATTTCCAAGTCGAAACCGTGGTTTGAGATAATCTAAATAAATATATTTTTTGACATTTTACAAAAAAAACATGAAATATGAATTGAATTTAAAGCGATGTGGTAAAAAAATAATGTGACTCAAATAAAATATTGTGACTTAAATAACATACTAACTTTTTAACTTTATGGGATTATGCCAAACTTACCCCAATAAATCTGACAAGTCTAAGCTTCATGTGAAAGAAACAACAACAATGATTCATCCCACTAAAAACATCACCACTAATACCATTAATGTATTAAAAAAGTAAAAAAAAATAAAAAAAAATACAACTCCAAGACCAAAATATCACATCATTAATGACGGGACCCACTGCCACCTAATTAGTGGGAGCACTAATTAGTGCTCCCAAGCATTATTCAAGAAACAAATAGTGCACCTTCCCAGAAAAAAACCAATAACAATTTTCTGTGAATTTTCATTTTGCAACTTGGGAAAATGGGGAAAACAGTGTATAAAACTCAAATCCAGTAGCGATCAATGTAAGAAAAAAATGCCACAGAATATTCTATATAATTATAGTAAAAATTACAAAAGAAAATTAATTAATTAAATAAAACTCTAAAGTTTTACTCTTATAACAAAATAAACCTTAGGTTTTAATTTTGACGATTTAAACCTTAATCTTTTAATTTATTTTCAATCTAAACTATTTGCCTACTTTCGTTGAGTAAAACCAATGAAAAAAAAAAAGTATTTTCATTATTAAACTTAATAAAAAATAGTATTTTATAAATAACAATTTGTTTGGTGTCGGTGTATTTTCCAAAAAATGAAAAGTGCTTACAAATTTTTCTAAATTATAATAAATAAAAATATTATTTTTCATTTATTTCGAAAATAAATTTTGAGTTGTTCCTCCATTCTCAAGTTAAATTATCTACTATCAAGTTTTTATTCATTGAAAACAAGTTTTTATTAATTTATTATCACTACAAAAAAAAGCACTTTGGCGATTAAATTTTTAGTCGCCAAAAGTCGACTTTTTAGTTTCCCGACTAAATTTTTTAGTCGCCAATTTTGTCGCGAAAACATGATCGCCAGAGGTATTGGCGACCAGAAAAGTTTTAGTCGGCAAAAAACAGGTCTTTAGCGACCAAAGTTTTGGTCGCCAATAGTCAATTACACTTTTTAAAATTATACATTTAGCGACTAATCTTTTAGTCGTCAATAGTCAATGAATCGCCAACTAAACCATTTAGTCGCCAAAAGAAACACTTTTGGCGACCAATAATTTTAGCCGCCAAAGGTTGTTCTGTGAAAAAAAAAATTATTAACTTTTTTGCGAGATTCAAACCACCAACCTCCCACATTCTAAACTTTTAGCAACACACTCTCTCCACTATGCCACTACAACACCACATGAATATATATGCAACATATATTATTTATATACTATATTGACCTGTATTAATATAAAACTATATATATAAACATAATTATTTTTATTCAAAATATAATTTATGTAAAAAAATAAATTATTTACTAAAAGAAAATGAGAGTACTTTTGGCGACTAAATCTGTTTTTTAGTCGCCAATTCTATAGTTTTGGCCACTAATTATTTTTTAGTCGCTAAAAAAATTAATTCTCGCCTAAAAATAACCACTTTTGGTGACTAAACTTATTTTTAGTCGCCAAAACCTCTACTTTTGCCGACTAAACTGAATTTTAGTCGCCAATGGTACACTTTTAGCTACTAAATTTTTTTTAGTAGCAAAAAAGCTTCACTTTTGGCTACAAAATTTATTGTTGTCGGTAAAACACGTAGAATCGGCGACGAAACTATTTTTTAGCTGCCAAAACCTACACTTTTGGCTACTAAATTTTTTTAGTCGCCAAAAACCTTCACTTTTGGCTACTAATTCCATTTCAGTTGCCAATAACTACACATTTGGCTACTAAACTGATTTTTAGTCGCCAATAACTACACATGTGGCTACTAAACTGTTTTAGTCGCCAAAAGTAATTCCATTTTAGTCGCCAATTCTGCTACTTTGAGGGACGAAAATTCTATTTTTAGTCCCTAATTTTGCTTTTTCTTGTATTGTATGTTACAACTTAACATTATCTAGAAAAAATTATCCATGCTTGAAGGCATTTTGTTATTCAAAAAATAATATTAACCATAAGATTTATTCAATATTAACCGTCAACTAAGCTATGTATGACATTTTATTAATAGACGATGAGTTTTATTATCATATGTCCCCATTACAACTTTGTGATATAATTAAAGTCCAAAATACACTTGATTGGAGCATGTGGTAAAATATGCCATAACCAAAGTAAAAGGTGTTAAGTGTAATTAACTCCAAAATAAAAGTTGACCAAATTGGAAAATTCATACGAAAGCGACAAATACAGTGCAAATTTCAAATTGGAGAAAGGGTATAAAATTGAAATGTGTCGTGGTCAATGCAAGAAAACTGGGCATGAGAATGTTGGTGATAAGGTGATATATCTCCATAAATATGCCATAGCAAGTTCTATATATGTAGTTACAAAAGCATATTCAATCTTCTGAACTTGATCGAGACAGATAGAGATGGCAAGGTGAAGGAGGACTTGTGGTTAATGGTTCTGGGTTCATGATCTATGTTTACGTGATTCTTATGTCAGGTGCGATCATGTCTATGATCATCCTTACTTGTGGTAAGCGTAACTCTGATAGAGACAATAAGAATCAAAAGAAGAGAAGCGATGCCCCAAATGTTGACTGCGGTAACTCCAGCTTTTGTTTTGGTGGTGGTGGTGGTGGTGGTGGTGGTCACGGTCACGGTGGTGGTCACAGTCACGGTCACGGTTAGTAGCGTAGCTAGGAATTCAGTGTAGAGGGGACACAAATTAATAATAATTTGATTCCAATTTTTTAAAAACACTTTTCAAAAATTCTATTTTATTGTTTTCCGTGTTTTTTTGTTTTTACTTATTTTTTTAAATATTTTAAGCAATTTTTTTGGTACTTTTTAGACATACCTACATAAACATACTTAAAAAGTAAAAAAACTGTGAAAAACTTTTTAAAAATTCACGAAATACCAAAAATACAAAAAAAAAAAGAAAATTCAGTACATTTTTTATATTTTTATGTATTTATTAATTTTTTAAAATATTTTTAATTTTTAGATACATCTAAG